GACAAAGTAAGGCAAAAAGGCTGAAGTGAAGTAATATTAATGCATTATATCAACATTTTTTATTTGGAATAACAACGAAAGGAAGGTATTTGCACATTTTTTCAAAACAATAGGGAGGYTTTTGTTAAGGTCAAAACACTAGGGAGTTTCATAGGATTATTAGAAAATCCAAGGAAGTTTCTATAATTTTCTTTATTTTTAAATGGAATTTAAATTAATTTTAAAATAATTAAACTATATTTAAAATTGATATTTTATATTAATTTTTGAAATTAGTAAAAATTAAATTTAATTAAGTATATTAAGTTTTTATTTTTCAGTAGAACTTAAGTTGGTTTTAAATTAGTAAAAAATAATTATAAAGCTAATAATTGTTAGATAATTTTGTATTAGTTTTATATTAATTTTAAATTGATATTAGTTTTTAATTTATCTTATTCCTTTTATTAATTAAATTCTTTTTATTATATTAATAAAATATTTTTATCAATAATACTAATTATTAATTATTTTTATTTTATTTAAGTAACTAAATTATTTTTATTATGGTTAATTAATTTTTATTATTTTTGAACGGAATATAAATGGATTATAATTTTAAATGCAAGTAGATTATTAAGTGTAATAATAGATCATTGAATATCTCAATTTCAATATAATTAATCTTTACTAATAATTACAATTTAATGTAAATATCTAATATATATATAATTATAATTAAATTGATATGGATATAGATATAGATAAAGTTAATGAATTTTGTGAAATTTAATGGAGTAATGGAGATGAGAGAATTAGTGGCATTAGTTATTGAAGGAGAGAGTTAATGGCATAATTAATGAGGAGAAATTATTATAAGAGTTAATGAGAGAGTTGATGGTCAGCTAATGAGGGGTGTTAAAAATCTTAAAGGTGATTAGTCAATACTTGAGTTATTTTGTTCAACTTTGAAATTAAAAATAATAAAAAAACAGAAAAAAGACAAGTGCTTTTGAGAAGAAACCAGAGTAAAGATAAGTGACTTTGAGAAGAAACCATAAAGCAGGAAAGTTCCAGCTTGGCACATTCCATTTTAATAGATAGATATAGATGGCATACTTTTTGTAATACAGCAGTTGTGGCATTAGTTATTGAAGGAGAGAGTTAATGGCATACTTAATGAGGAGAAATTATTAAAAGCGTTATGAGGGGTGTTAAAAGTCTTAAAGGTGATTGGTCAATACTTGAGTTATTTTGTTCAATTTTAAAATTAAAAATTCAAAAAAATCAGAAAAAAGATAGTGCTTTTGAGAAGAAACCAGAGTAAAGACAAGTGACCTTGAGAAGAAGCCATAAACCAGGAAAGTTCCAGCTTGGCACATTTCATTTTAATATATAGATATAGATGACATACTTTTTGTAATACAGCAGTCAGTAATTTGTCATTTTCTCCCATTTCTACCGTGGCACCACAACTCATTGTCAAATTCTGCTTGGATCTCTTTGTCATAAGCTCATAATCTCATGTTCATTTTTTTTATCAGTATCCTTGTGTTTATTTAACATAGTCACATGCCTCTCCTCACTTTCTCTCTCCACTTGTGATTCCCCTCTATTACTCAACAGTCTATGTCCCTACATTGCAGTAAAATCATGGTTGCTAAATAGCTCTAGATCTGGTTCTGTAGTAGTTGGAATCACTTTGTCCAAATCTCTATATCATCTGGTTTGCACAACCAGAGTTTCAATCTCTAAAAACAGATATGTTGCAAAAGGTGTAGTTAGTGATTGCACCTTCCACAATTTATCTGCATTCTGTAGCATATAATAATGTCCAATTGTTCACTGTTTATTTTGTTTCTGTTTTCCATTTTAGATTCAAATGTACTAACAACATGCTTGCATGTTGTAGGAGGAGACACTCCCCTAGACGCAGAACTCCTTCAGGGTATTATTCTCGTCATCGCTCTCCTAGAAGGAGACCTTGGTCACCACCTCCTAACCGGAACACTGGAGTGGGAAGACCTGGAAATAATCTATTTGTTGCAGGTTTTAGCTTTGTGACTACAGAAAGAGATCTTGAAAGGAAGTTTTCAAGGTTTGGTCGTGTGAGAGATGTTCGCATAGTTCGGGATAAGAGGTGACAACATCTTGCACTAAACTGATTCTAGATTTAGATAGTTATGATTCCTAAGTTGATCTTGATCCAGACATCTAAGCAGTTTCGTCAATTCCTAGGTCTAACCTTTATGACATCTTGCTGTTTTATATTTTAAATATCTGGAATGCATCATCCTCCATATGTCTATCTTTTGGTCTATGAAATATGCATCATCCATCTTTAATTACAGGGTAATGGTCACTACTACCTTAATCAATCACTATATTGGTTGTTCTTCAATACCATCTATCCATAGAAAAAAGAAAGAAAAGAAACAAAATTAGACTAGGTGTGGCTTTAAAGAAAGAAAAGACAAAGGAGAAAAAAACCAGATAGTCTTTAGACTTAGTTTTGCCATGTTATACATAGTGACATTCCCAGAACCGTAAATGTACAAAACAGAAATTCAGAGATTTAGAGGAGAAACCAAGAAAGGTATATCTGGACTAAAGGATACCACCTGAAGATGGAGAAATAGCAGTTTGAAACATCAATGAACTCTCATGATAATTAGTAGAAGAGGAAAATTGAAAAAAAAACATGCATTATTATTCAGAGGCTTAATAACAGGGATAAATACAAAAAAAAACTGCTTACATGGTTAAATATCAATAAACTAATTACATTTGTATTTAGTTCAATATCAATAACCTAATTACATTTGGATCAATGTTGTCAGACTTGGGCTGGAGTGGACAGGCAGACTGTCAGACTCGGGAACCTCTGGGCAATCAGTTTTTAATATTCTGCTTTTTAGTCTTTTTTTCCCAAAAAAATATCTAACCTGCTATTAACCTGGGCAAACTGTTGAAATCTGTTCGGGTTTTAGCAACCTAGCCAGTTTTCAATGATTTACCTGGGTCTTTGCTTCATCATAAATTATAAAGTGATAATAAGGAGAATCAAACATATAACCTCTTATTTACAAAGAATAATATGTTACCATTGAACTGTGGCATGATTTGCGTTTATTTTTTATTATTTAATGTCTATGCTGACCAAATGTGTAAATATTTTTTGAAAAACATGACTTGCAAGACTTGAAAGACATTTGAATGAAAGTCAGAAAAATACTCATTGGACTACAGCTAATACACATGAAGAAGTATACATAGTACATTATGTATTTATTTATAAAACAGCACAGGCCACTGGGTAAAATCAGTGGTCAGACCACTTGAGCCATGACCCAGTGGCCTTCCTGGTTCTGTAAATGGTCTAAATCTGACAATATGGACTTTTACTACGACTGTACATGTGTGAATTAACTGTTAATTTAATGATGCCTAAACTTTAAGCATAAATTCTGTTAAAGATTCTTATTTTGTAAAGAATAAAAGAAAAAGAATTTCATCAAAGAAAATAAAAGCAGAACAAGAGGAAGGTGATAAGATATCACCAGAGAGAAGAAACTAATGAGCCTAAGCCACATCTAACAATTCAACAACACCGGAACACCCTACAACAACCCCAAAACTATAACAAGAAACACCACCACAACAATTGTTCAACCCTCCCAAAGATCAAAACTCCAAGTCTCCAACCCCTAGAACTTTCAAACCCGAGCTCTCCCAGAAAAACTAAAGCAGCAGGTACTTAAAAGAAACACCCAACAAAGCCACCCTTAATCCTCTTTGAAAACTTCCTCCTGCCCTGTATCAGCCTCGTTCCAGATCTCTCCCCCTTCACCTACTGTGACTTTCTTCATCCTCTCCTCCCTCTCCCTCTTTTCAAACTTCTCGAAGGCTCTTCTAGCAAGCTCCTCCCCACCCAAAAAAAAAAAAAAAAAAAAAAGAGAAAAAAAGCCCAAGCCCCTTTCCCACCTCTACATCTGTTTTAATGAGATCCTCAATGGACACACACACCCTTGCCTCACCCGCTCTCCTGAAAAGGTATCCTGCACTTCCTTCAATATTTTGGACCCGTCATTCTCTTTCTGCATCTCTGAAGAGAAAACCTTTGATTCTTTGAATGAGGTCCCAACTCAGTGGAGGTATGAGCCACCCCACCAAACACCTCTGACTCCAACATTTTTGACTTCCTTCCCCATCTCTTGAGTGCCCTATTGTACTTGCTTGTAGGACCTGTCCCCACCAAACCATCTTTTAACCGTGAGAAGACTTTAGTCACATGAACAATATGAGAAGCATTTGAGCTATGAGGTAGGTCTCTTAGCCTCCACAATAGCAGCATCAAAATTTTGCAATGTATTGGCCAATGCGTATTGTATCAGTGGGTCACCGATATGCAAACTACAAGGAGTTTTGGGGTTTGACCAGTTTCAGGTGATAGCCAGGCGCTATACCAAGCCCCCCGAACATGTTTGGGAAAAAAACTAAAATAAATATAGGCACCCTCTTAAAAGTCTGATATACCCCATCCGGTGTATCAGACTGTATCGATATTTGAAACCTTGAGTTTGATATTCCATCCACTGTAATAAAACCTGACTGCATCACCTTCATTCCTTCAAGATATTGACCTTTTCTTATACCGTGCCTGATCTTTTTTTTTTTTTTTGAGGATTTGAATTGCATATATTGCACTTTAAAGAGGTTGACTTGTTTTTGTTTGGTTGGGTTCAAAAGAAACTGGTCGAATCAAAATCTTCATTTAACTTGGAACTTGTGTATTATATCATGTTGTTTTGGTTTAAAAAAATTTCATACTCTTGCTGTTGAATCTTTATTTTTCTGTATGTAAGGTCTGGGGATTCCCGTGGTTTTGGATTTTTATCCTTGGAAAGAGATGAGGATGCAGATGCAGCGATCCGAGCTTTGGACCAAACTGAATGGAATGGTCGGATTGTCCTGGTGGAGAAATCAAAAGCTCGCTGAAGCTTTACTATGGTTCAAGCTAGTTAACCTGTTTAAACTTGGAGATTCTGTTACTCTCAATTTTGTTTCATACTCATACATCTTTTGTCGGTATGGTTTAAGTAATGGATATATGGCAAGTATCACCTTAGATAAGATTCTCGACATTGTAATAATGGTTCACGTTTTCATGTTTCATCCCATGGAATGACTGCAGAATGTCAACCAGTTTATGTATTACAAAGTCTGTTTAATTTTCAACCATGAGTTTAAATGCTAGAGTTTATCTACAAGCTACTAAAACAACTGTTCTATTTAGATGGACTGCTAGTACATGCTGACATTTCTGGTGAGTTGCTTAGAAGTAACTATTCACATAAAATCCTCTTTCAGTGTTCATCATCGGTTACATATGAAAGTTCTCTACCATCTTTAGTGCCTGAGAATGTGTCAAAGTATGTTATAGTTGGAAACTTGACTGGAACATGATTGATTCATTCACCATATTCAATCTATGTGGAGTCCATGGATGTTTTGTTTTTTCAGTGCCTGGCCTCTGAAGTAAGGTTCTGTGCCTCAGTGTTTCTAGAGTAAATAGTTAAGACATGAGTACATGAGTTTATGCGTTTCATTTCATTTCTTTTTTTTCCTCGGTTCTTTATGAACTCTCCTAATACATTTCAAGAGTTTTTTCCCTTATGCTGCAGGCATCGCGATGAGCTTAGCCTTTAAGTAGAGATTGAGAATATGATGACTATAAGTTGGGAACATGAAATACCTGAAAATTTTGGCCTTGAATCAAAATGATTGCTTTGGAGTTTGTGTTCCTTTTCGGTGTTTGCTACTTGATTCTAAGACCCAAGTTGCCATATAATATTGACTGGATAGGGAGGATAACTGGATATGTTTATATGTTATCTTCCCGGGCTTCTAGTTTCTTTTTCCTTCTTTTTCATTGTAAGATGAAAGTACAATTTTCAGGAATTTTTTAGTGGTGCAGGTTGTGTGATATATTCTTTACTATGGGTTCAACTCAACAAAGCTTTCTTCCAACCTTAGGGGTGATATTTTCTTAGCTATAAATCAAATATGATGATTCAAACTTCAGTTTTCATCAAGCACAATATCTTCCTTGATCTTTCGAAGTTTGAATATGAACATGGGGTGCTAGTCTCATTAAAGCTGATTGTGATGGGTCACATGTTCTGTTCAAGTTTCAGAATTTAATTTCTGAAACTAATGACCATGACATTTCATCCTTGGTTGTGTGAATGTATGGTGGTGACATTTGCTGTCTGTTTCCGTGTGTTTCTTTCTCACTGTAACCTAGAGTGGTTGAGAATCTCCATGTAAGCTTTTGGACCTTCTGTACCCAGAATAAATTCTTCAAGAGGCTTTATCTTGTGCATCTCGTTACCAAATCATTGAGGTTGGTAATCACTGCTGGTTTTGTACTCAAAATAGGTTTTGCTGATGGTTGATACTAGAAAGAAAATTCAGCTTTCATGAAATCAATTGTTGGATTGCCTGGAATATCACATGTTCAAAAAATGCAAATATTTTATGCTTTTGTCCTTGTTTGGCAAAAACATTGTTGTTTGTATTTGTCCCAAGTCGAATGTATCCCATAAGTACATGGTGAAGAAAGTAAAAACTCCTTTTCTCCTTTCAATGCTTTAGGGTCTTTTAAATCCTTGAGTATCTGAAATTCTGAATCAGTCCATCGCTACATGTGCTGCTGAACTGTTGCAGTTTTCAACAGGTCTAGTGTGTTCTTGATTTTGTTTTCCGATCATTCATTGGAAAGAAACATGATACTCTTGAACCTTGGTTTGGGCTATATAGAGACCTTAAGGCTCATTTTGGAAGAAGTACAAATACAGGTTTAGCAATACAAAATATAAGACTTTGCACTGTACGTATTTGAATTTGCACTCTTTTTTTTGATCAGTAAAAAGAAATTTCATTGATGAAAATAGAAATTACAGGGGTTAAAGTTTATGAGTAGCCTCGGCTACCCCACTACAATGTAATGTATCCACTATTAAATTGATTTTTCACTCTTACAGTTGAGCTCAGAAACAGTGATCCCTGTTATCGAGCCTAAGTTATTGAATATGAACAAAATGCCACGGAAGTGGAACCAATCATTCTTGTATCAATTTCACAGGAAAAAAAAAACAAACAAAAAGTAATTCAATTATTTCAGATCTCTTTTATATTATAGAATTTGGCGATAAAAATAGCTGATGTGAGATGGCCTTAGAATGTATTGGACACTGGGCAAGTGGACAGCCGGAGTGGATTCAAGAGGTGGTGCTTTGCACGTTGTGATGGCCCTTAAATAATGGTGAAATAGACTGGTAATAAGACCCACTTGCTCTGATTAATCCACGGTTTTCATGTAGGAGATGGAGCTGGTGATTTACAAATACGGCTTTTTCCTAACAAATACTCGTCAAATTTTTTCCCAAGTTATCTAATCAAACAAATACAGCTTTTTAAGCCGCAGCCAACGGACTAACTGCTGACCAAGGATCATGACCAAGAAATGCACAAACACAACCGAAGCCAAAGCTATTCCTTTTTTTTTTTTTAATATAAAAAAATGAGGGATAAGTAATGGTGGTTGATTGAGTGTCCAGAACCAGAAAAAATTTTCATGGGCCTACTGTCAAATCCAAGAGAATGCGTTGTCGTATTGAAGGGTCTGACCAGAAGCTAAAATTTTCACCGGCAATACGCAAACATAGCCAATGGTATTGAAGGGTCTGACCACTTGACCAGGTCATGAATAACATTTTAACTCATTTTTTGTTAGAATCCAAGGTTTGAATCAGCAGCTTTAAGGTAAATCAAGTTACAATCGTAACTCGGGGGGTATTAATAAATCAGCTTTGATTCTGATTTCGGTAAGGAAAGGTCATAATTCTGACTCTAATCCATATATGCTTCACATTTCACAATGCCATTAGAAATATAAACAAGGCCAACTGGCCAACAAGGCAAATCAATATCTCAACTAATCCTTTTTTTTTAAGTCTAACATCTCCACTAATTATTATTGTTATAAGCTTTAAAAAACCTTTCCTGAAGGTGCCAATTTGCTCAATTGGTAAGGGCTCTGACTGGTTGTAGCGGAGACAATCCCGCTTTCACTATGGGTTTAGGGATGAGGTACACTACTCTACCCTCGCTGTATGACCCCACAGAACCAGAAAAAAAACAGAGACCTTTCAAGGATGACGATTCAGCCCAGAAAGTCCTAAATTAATGGTTTAGGTATATGCTATATGCATAAGAATTAAGACAAAAAAATGGGCTTGGTATTGGTAGTTGGGCAAGTTGGTTCGGCCCCACGACTAAGTCCATGGATGTCAAGTCAAACAAAGAATTGAGATAATTAGTTTTTTTCCATGGACCAGCTAAAACTTGAAAATGGCGTCACAGTGCATTGGATTAGAATATCTTACATTTTATTTCATTGTTAGACTTTGGACGAAGTGGAGAGTCGTGAAGGAGGTGCTCAGTTAGGATTATGAACTCTATCCACCAAGAAGAAAATATCCTGATCCAATATTCTCTTCGGAGTTTTGGACTTGTGTCCACGATCCATCTATGATCTATCTATCTACCATTCTATCCAGTAAAAGAGATTTCATTTTAAAATTAAAAATATTTCAGTGCTTTACATGGGCATTGGCTTTTCTGCCACCTTGTTTACGTCTCTTTCTGCTTCGTCTTTTGGCCTTTTGGTTTTAGTCTTTAGGAACAAGGTTGTCCTGTTGTGAATGTGAAATTTCTTCCTTTTAACTTTTTCCATTCCACCCATTATGGTTATGTTTGGTTTAAAGAAAAAAATAGGAAAAGGAAGGAAAAAACAGAAAAATTTATACAAAGTTTGTAAAGATTTTCTTTCAAACCAAACATAACCAAGCGAAGCGAAGACTTTCCTTTTGTTTTTGCCACTACCATCGTCTTTCTCTTCTCAGTTCTCTACTCGTATTATAATCATCAAATATCAATTAAAAAAACCTTCGGGTTTTTATAATTCAGTCCATCTTAGAAATCTGAGCCCCACTGTCAGGTGGATGAATCCTGACCGTAAAGGCCGGTTTATGAGTTGGGTCATGGGTGCCACCATAAGGACATGACTCATTGCAGAAGGTTCCTACCTGTTCATTCAATCTACCATCTTGAATTTTTTATGATATGGCAACAGTGTAGACCGTAGATCACTAGGATGGGTTCTTCTTAATCGAGACTTCAGTCATCCTGCCTGAAGTATTTCTTTCTTAATTAGCATTAATATCAAGAGAGAATTAAGTTAATTAACCACACCATTTCTTCAGAAGTATCAGGTAATTTGTCTAAACTGGAGCTGATTAATTACTCCACCTAAATCCTTGCCTGCCTTCTCTCTCTTTCTTTTTGTCTCTCTGTCCGGCCGTGGTCGTGCCGTCGTGGTGGCCCAGATACTGGAATCATTTCTCCAAGTCTTGGAAAATTCAACTCTCTCAGAAGCAGGAGACCAAATTCTCATCTGGGTTCATCTGCTTTCAAGCAGACTAAATTCACTGGTCCAAAGAGCCGGCTTAGAAAATCTAATCTGACCTTTTTTCAGAAACTCTAATCCCATCAGAACCTAAGCTCACTTTTATTCTTGATTTTGTATTCCGTCAGGAGATTTTGTATTCCGTCTGGCATATCTGATCTTGGTTTTTTCTGGGATATCCCAAGTTGGGTTGTATTTCTCTGAAATTCGTCACCATAGCCATAACTCCCTATCTGGGTGCTCTATCCTGAATCAGTAGAAACATGGGACATTGTTTCAGCAAGGACAACGTTTCACAACTAGATGTAAACGGGCATAGATCAGGGGCAGATGTTGCGAGGCATCAACAAAGAAGACAAGAGCCAGTTGTTCATACGCAGCACAAACCTCCTGCCCAGCAGCAGACCCGCCCATTACCCGAAAGGCCCAAGACTCAGCCGCTGGCCCCTGCTCCAGTTAGGTCTTCTCCTTATTCCCTTACTCACAGACAAGAAACCATCTTGGGAAAGCCTTTTGAAGATGTTAAGTCCCATTACACAATTAGAAAGGAATTGGGTAGAGGTCAGTTTGGTGTTACTTACCTTTGCATTGAGAATTCAACTGGTCACACGTATGCCTGCAAGTCAATATCGAAGAGGAAGCTTGTTAGTAAAAACGATAAGGATGACATAAGAAGGGAGATTCAGATCATGCAACACTTGACCGGACAGGCTAACATTGTAGAATTTAAGGGAGCTTATGAGGATAGGCAATCAGTACACCTTGTGATGGAGCTCTGCGCTGGTGGGGAACTCTTCGATCGGATAATTGCCAAGGGGCATTATTCTGAGAGGGCTGCCGCAACCATTTGCAGGGCCATCGTGAATGTTGTCCACATCTGTCATTTCATGGGCGTCATGCATCGGGATCTCAAGCCGGAGAATTTCTTGCTTTCCAGCAAGGATGAAGGAGCGATGTTGAAGGCAACCGATTTTGGGCTGTCTGTGTTTATTGAGGAAGGTGAGTTTTGTCTTCAGTTGTTCAACTGGCAAACTTTCAATGAGAAATTGGTTTAATAGATTAAATTGTTCAACAATATGGTTGATCTGTGTAGATGCTTTGATCTTTTGCCTTTCGTGCTTTGTTATATATTCATTTTCTTTTCTTTGTTATATAGTGTTTTTTTTTTTGGCGTCCTTTCATTTAAATCAGTGGTATTCTAGAACATTTTTTAAGGTTATCCAAAACTGTACTAAATCTACTCTGCCCCGTGTGTTCAATACCCATGGATGTAGGTGAACTGATGCAAGTAGAAGGCTCTAAAAGAGATAGGGAAACGCCAATGGAAATGTGGTAAACAATTATTTAAAGACTTATAATTTGAAAGAAAACACGGCTTTTGATAGAACAAAGTGGCAGGACAATATCTATCTAGCGAAAATAGTTGGGATTAAGGCTGACTTGAGTTCAACTTAGTTCTATTTATTTCGGTTAGAATTAATTTTGAAACTAGTTTTATTCTTTTAGATTGGGAAATGGTTGTAATGGGTCAAAAAGTACAACTTTAGAAGTCCGATTCAGTCTGAAAATATTTTTATCTGAAGGTATGATGTTGGGAGTCTTTATCCCAACTATATGGGATCAGCTACATCAATCCTGTTTCGCCATTCTGTTCTGTTTAAAGCCTTTTGTAGTCCTTAGATTAGGGAAATACTTACTTTATAAGGTTCATACTGTTGCTTAAAAAAGGACTAAAATTTTGGAGTGGAACTTTGCTTTTAGCCCTTTCCCCTCAGTTTGGTGCTAGAACCATTCCTTTAAATTTCTTCCAAGTACTAATTCCTTTAAAACTCTTCTAGGTGCCGATTCATGGAAAATTTTTCTTTATTACACCTGAAATGTTGAAAGCATATAAAAGTATAACTCATACATCAGGTTGTTATACAATGAGATTACTCATGGGTCCCAGGAAGAAATAAAAAACTAAAATTACTTTCTGTTCTGAATATTTAAAGATTTGTCGTAGTATTAACTTTTTTCATGAAAGATAAAGAATATACTCCCCTGAACTCATTATAGGATCTTTAAATGCTGATTCAGAGACAGTCCTAGATGCTGATTTCTAGGTTATCTTTGTTTTATCTTTTCTTCGTTGATTTTAGAATTCGAGGATTATTGCTCTCTTGGATTACTACTCTAATTTGTCCTTTTGATTTTTGCATTACAATTCCTTTTCAATTCCCTTCATATGGAAAACTCCCTCCTTTGTTGTGAAACTCCTAACCCTCCACCTTGATCTTCCTAGGGGTAATACATCAGTTTGACATGTTGGTTGGTCCTCCATCAAGAACCTTGGTCAGTCAAAAATTCTTGCCTGACTTAAATCCTCTACTTCTAACACATGCAGGAACTAGTTTGCTAAGTTGATCATTGACAACACAAACAACTGGCTTCTTGATGGATAGAAAATGAGCTTATCAGGAGCTCCTGGAGCATACCAAGATTATAAGATGTTCAGTATCATGAGCACTGCTACAATGTTCATCTCATTGGAGAACTGAAGAAGGACGCCATTTCCTTACTGTAATTTGTAGTACAAGGCATTTCAAAGGGCATTCTTTTCATTGTTGTTGGTGTTGGATCTCAATTCCTCTGTGTTTATGCTTTCTCTTGTAAAGGGAATTTAATTCATTCAGTCTTTATCCTATTTTTCATCAAAGATATTAGAAGTGTGTTTTTGGCATCTCTGTTTTCTATCTAATCTTGTTTTGTAATATTTTTACTGGTTTTAGCTTTACTTTTGTGCAGATTATAAATGCTTCTCTTGTATATATTGACTGTTGTGATACTCAAGCAGAATTAGGAGATACATTTTTATGCTATTATTCATGACTAACTGGTTTTCCGTGGTATTCCTGGCAGGAAAGATATACAGAGATATTGTAGGAAGTGCCTACTATGTTGCACCCGAAGTGTTGCGGCGTAGTTATGGAAAGGAAGTAGATATTTGGAGTGCAGGAGTAATCTTGTATATTCTGCTCAGTGGTGTACCTCCATTTTGGGCTGGTACAATATAAACATTTAGTGTTGTCCTAAAAATTTGTTTTATGTAATATAACATAGAAGTTCTCTTCTGACAACTTTCAGTCAGAAAATTTGGGATTTGTGCATACTAACAGTGGATATTGCAGAAACGGAGAAGGGAATATTTGATGCTATACTGAAAGGAGATATTGACTTTGAAAGTGCACCATGGCCATCTATTTCAAGAAGTGCCAAAGATCTGGTTAGAAAGATGCTCACACAGGATCCCAAAAAACGGATTACCTCTGCACAAGTTCTTGGTGTGTCCCTCCTTTTCATTGTTTTCTTTTTCTTATTCTTTCTCCATCCTTTTTTATCATCAAGATGGACTTAATATGATTGCAACATATGGTCATTGGAATATTATCCACAAGGTTTAAGTTATTGCATATTGTCAATAAGGCCATTTTCTTAGCTGTTGGTAAGGTCCTACATGCAATATATGATATTATCTTAGCCCATGAAATGGCATTTCACTTAGTATAACTTGAAAGTTGAGCACAGAAGCTGATATATATCAAAATATTTTAATGTGGAGATTACCTTTTCATCATGATACAAATTTTAAGAGGGATTCCATAAGGTTTGTGTTGTTTCCACAAAGATAATATGAGAAATGATAAATGATTGAAGTTTTGGTCATTGTTCAAAAAATTCCAAATATGCAATTGCTTATTTTGTTGAGTTGAATTGGTTTGACTTCACAAATCAGTTTATTGTAATAAATTCACATTAAATTGTGTCCTTGATGATAATTACTTTGGTATTTTTATTGCAAATCTATGCTTTTGATTGAGATTTAATGGCTGATTGTCCAGAGCATCCATGGATTAAAGAAGATGGAGAAGCATCAGACAAACCAATAGATAGTGCAGTTCTGTTTAGGATGAAGCAATTCAGGGCTATGAACAAGCTTAAGAAACTTGCACTGAAGGTAGGTTAGTTATTCATTCACAAGATTGTTTATGACTGAACAAACTGCCATTAAGTCAGCAGGATGGAATGTTTAGCAGAATCTGTTATCCCTTCCTCAACTACTACAGGCAGCACTCGTACAAAATGTTGTACCTAGGTGGAATTTGATCTAATGACATGACTCTTAACACCAATTAGTATATGCGAATAGAATATACTGAAAAAAAAGGTTTTCTTTGGAAGATTTAATTTCATATAACCAGATCATTATCTTTATATGGCTTTCCTCCTTATGTGACACACTTACTGGTAGTTCTGATCCACTAGAGAAGCAGGGAGGCAAGAATCCTCACAGCTTCAATTCCTGATTCGCTTATCTTTGTGTTTTCACAGGCTGATTTCGATAATAAAATATCCTTGTCTAACTTACATTTCAGCTAGCTCTAATTTTAATTTTCTTTAAAATGTTCTATTGGTTTTTTTGGAAACTCTTCTAGGTCATCGCAGAGAATCTTTCTGCAGAAGAAATTAAAGGGCTGAAAGCAATGTTCACAAACATGGACACTGACAAGAGTGGTACAATCACCTATGAAGAACTGAAGACAGGGTTGGCTCGACTTGGATCAAAACTATCAGAGGCTGAAGTCAAACAACTCATGGAAGCTGTAAGATATAAGTGCATTGAAAAAAATAAGCTAGATTTCTTCATCTTTTAGTTTACATGTCTGAAATTCTTGGGTTGATCATTTCTTTCTTTTTCAGGCTGATGTGGATGGAAATGGAACAATCGATTATATTGAATTTATTACTGCAACCATGCATAGGCACAAGCTAGAAAGAGACGAACATCTATATAAAGCCTTCCAGCATTTTGATAAAGATCAGAGCGGGTGAGTGTGCTACTTTTTCTTTTTGTTTCATTGTAACATCATGGTGTTGTAGATCAGTGATTTACTTCTCACTAGTCCACTGTCTTTGAATATTTAATCTTCAGAACAAGAATGATCTATTTCCTTGTCTTCTCTCCAATGAACATATATACTTTTTGACAACTTAATATTAAGTATAATTAATTATTTATTTATTTTATCCATAAAAACTTAATATTAATTATTTTTTCCTGGTTTATTCAACTACTAATTTTGTAATTTTCATACGTAAATTTATTTAGAACCATGCTGCTTTGTTAGTCAATCTGAAATGCTGTAAACTACAACAAATCTTGTAATATTTTCAATGTCAAAGTATGAAATTTTCTTGTGTCAGGTTTTTTGGTTCTTATTTCTTACATTGTATGTTGGGGTTGGCATGTTGAGATTTGTTCTTACTCTCTGTCATTGGCAACATGTGCATGGTTACATGGGTAGAAATCTGGTTGAAAACTAACAGGGTTTGTCATGATGTCAAAAGTCAATTTGGGGCCTTTTAGGTGAGTGAAGGTACCACTTGACTTGGCTGGGCCTTAAAGATGGATTGTAGTAACTAGATTAGAGAGAACTTACAACTGTCTTACTCATGTTATTAAAACTTTGTTCAACCATACATTCTAAACAGGTTTATTACAAGAGATGAATTGGAAACAGCTATGAAGGAATACGGAATGGGTGATGAAGCCAGCATTAGGGAAATAATTTCAGAGGTGGATACAGATAATGTAAGTTTTCTCTAAATTGAAACCTGAAAGTGTTATGTTGCAGAATTAAAAATGGCATTGATGTCTGTTAAACCTACAGGATGGGAGAATCAACTATGAGGAGTTTTGTACAATGATGAGGAGTGGATTGCAGCAGCATGCCAAGCTATTCTAATTCCAGTGACAGCCAGCTTTTTTTTTTTTATTTCTGCCAAATGCATTGGTAGAGCGTAATATTTAACTACCTCACCAAGTGAACCATGCAAGCAATATAGAAGGGTCTTGAAGACTTGGGGGATCTCATTGGAGACCTCTAGTATGTGCAGTGCTGAGTGCCCTTTATCTAAGAGGATTATTTCCACTATTGTCTCATATTCAAATGGAAAGAGGCATGAAGGCAAATTTAGCATGTAAGGCCGTTGGTTTAGATAGTTTGGAGCTTGTACTCTTTGTATATCTAGTTTCTTCATGTTTGTTTGTTTTCCCTTTCATTCCAAGGAATTTGTATTGCAGCTGTTTTTCATTGTGACCACTTAACGTTAAGAGGCATCCATGCTGAGAGCCTATATACAGAAGAATTTGTTCTTGTCATAGAAGTTGACTTCTGTGAGATTGATAATGTTGCTTTTGATGTATTTTGGTTTTTGCATGTGTATTTCTGGCATATTCTTATATTGTAATGCAAATGCAATATTTTAAGCAAATCAAGAAATAAAGATTTAAGTGTTACCCACGTACACTGTATACCTGTATTACATGTAGAAGGATTGTATCCAATCCCCTACCTTGCTGCCCGGTAAGCATTCAAGTGCATGAATCTTAAAAGTTATAGGTTAGAGAAAGAAAAAATGCAAGGTGCCAACGGGTTGGTAAGGTCTCCCTGTGGCTGCAGCGGAGACTTTTGGGATAAAATCCTGCTTGCATCGACTCGGGGTCTGTTACTCACAAATTGTTCCCACATCCCTACCCACAGAGCATCACCACCACCATGTATTGAGAATATCTCCCTAGGATTGACAAGGGAGATATTCCCGATGTGCAGCTGTAATGATGTGGGAACAGCTCGTGGGTAGCAGATCTGAGCCTTATGGTTTAGTTACCCTTATGGAGTAAATAAATAAAACAAAGGGTAAATTTTTTAAATTACCCTTATGGTTTAGTTAATTAATGACTAAGTGTATCTTTACTAATGCTACTCTTACTGTTTATGACAATTGACCAACTCTACCTTTACTGTTAATATTCCATTAAAACCCATAAACACGTGACATTTAATATTTTTTAAAACCCAATGCTACCCTTATCCCCTTCCTCTCGACCCAACACACCTTCCTCCTCCAACCTCTCTCTCTTCCCTCTCATCTTCCTCCCACAGTCTCCATCAACACCGATCATCTTCCTCCTCCGACCTCTCTCTCTTCCCTGTATCTTCCTCCCAGTCTCCATCAATATCAGATCATCGGAGAGAATGCACTGTATTTGCAGTAAACAGTCAATAACAAAATATAAAAGAATAAAAAGAAAATAAAAGCAGAGAACAAGCAAACTGGCACACCCTTCATCCTCTTTCTTCTTCAACAGTGGGAAGAAGCAGAGAATGACTGAACTGAATAGGGGTGGCGGCGGCAACCCCCTCTGGAGTCCGACCTTTCTCTTTCTCTCTTCTTCCTCTAGGCGATAGCGACGACGGCAACAACCCCCTCTGAACTCCCATCTCTCTTTCTCTCTCTTCTTCCGTGACGGCATAGCATCTGAACTCTGATCTCTCTTCTTCCTCTGGGCGATGGCGACATCTAAACTCCGATCTCTCTCTTCTTCCTCTGGGCGATGGCGACATCTAAATTCCGATCTCTCTCTTCTTCCTCTGGGCGACGGTGACAATATAATCTCTCTCTTCTTCCTCTGGGTGACAGCGACAGCATCTAAACTCCGATCTCTCTCTTCTTCCTTTGGGCGACGACGACAACATTTGAACTCCGATCTCTCTTTTCTTCCTCTGGGCGACGGCGATAACATTTGAACTCAAATCTCTCTCTCTTCTTTCTTTGGGCAACGGCGACAATATCTGAGGCGATGGCGACAGCATCTGAACTTCGATCTCTCTCTTCTTCTTCTGGGCGACGGCAACAGCATCTGAACTCTGATCTCTCTCTCTTCTTCCTTTGGGCGACGGCACTGGCACTACCCTGTAACTCCACCCAGCGGCGGGTGGGTGGAGAGAGAAAGAGGTAGAGTAGAAATTTACCTGTAATTCCATCCAGCGACAACCTCTGAACTCTAAAGATAGTTTGGGCATTTTGCATTGTTTTTTTACGGAGGTTAACTGTAAGAATAGAGTTAGTCAATTGACAGAAACAGTAGGGATAGTATTATTCAATTTTTAAGCAGCAAGGATATACTTAATTAATTAATTAAATCATAAGGATAGTTTAAGAAATTTATCCTAAAATAAAAAAGAAAAAAATATATTTTTATGTATGCAATAAAGTTGATATATCAGTTTGGAGGTTTTTTTTCGTGAAAATAAATATAGATTAAACAGAAGAGAACAACAAACACCAAAATAAGAAACAAAAGCCAACAGAATAAACAAGAAAAAAAAAAAAGAACGCAAAGAAACCACTAAGAAAAAACTATAGGAAAGCACTAAAGCTAAAGGGAAGTCGATCCACAAATAAACAAGATGAACCGAGTCCTGCAACTGCCAGCCTGTGGGCTGTCATATTAGCCTCACGAGGAACCCAAACAAACTTCACTGAACGACCTGGGCAGAGAGATAATATATCCTTAACAACAAAAACAATATCTTGATGGTAGTCAAGGTTCAAAATATCGATACACCTGATATGTAGAGGCTATCAATAGTTTTTTTTTTTTTTTTTTTTAAATCTGGTTCAGAGGGGTCGGTTTAATGTCTGTCCACCCCTGAACCAGTCAAAACCCCACTACACCCTATGTAAAGGCGTATCCAAAAGCTCTCCATATGATACGCATCTATATTTTGAACCTTGGTGGTAGTCCACCTATTTAGAACTGAGGCAGTTAACTATGAGGAGTTTATCAAGTTCAAAAATCAGATTAAAATTGCACTGTTGAACTGCTACTTTCAAAGCTTCAAAAAGTGCCAACACCTCTGCTAAAACTGCCGTAGAAGCATTGCACTGACTAAAACCAGCCCACCAAACAACACTGCCGCTGTCTCGAGCTAGGAAACCAAAAGAGGCTTTACATGTAGTCAAAAAACCTCCATCCACGTTTACTTTCAAAGCACCCTGATTTGGAGGTAGCCAAAATGAAATTTGATATGAAGCATTCAGAGCGCTAGAACAGTTTTCCAATCCCGGAGGCGATGGCTGAAACATCTCTGCTATCGACCCATTCACAGAATTAATGATAACAAAAGGGCTTGTGTCAGTGTTTTCAAAGTAGAAGGTATTCCTATCCTTCCAGATAATCCATCTTCAGAGACCATCTTCCCATTTTTAGTTATGGCTTTCAAAAACCAAATTTTAAACTTTTCATCCCCATTCACTGTATCAGCTCTTAGGCCTAGACCCGAGCCAAACCATACATAGAACTAGGGTATGGAGAGGAGTTTCTCTCTCAGCACCACATCTCTTGCACTCTACAGAATTTATGACTTTTTTTTCTTTCTAGGCTCTCTTACTGGCAACCCCTTATTACAGCATCTCCGTGTAAAGTGTTTTATCTGGGTTCGATCGGTAGCTTCTAAATCTCCTTTGGGACTGCCACACCACCTAGGGAAAGAGAGGGATGCGGGTAGAAGTTTGTAGCTAATCGGTAGGCAGATTTAACTGTAAACTTACCTGGAGTAGGAGTCCAAATGAATTTGTCTTCCCACTCATTAGAGGCTACCATGATGTTGCCAATAGAGCTTGCAGTAGCTCCAGAGAAGAGATCATTAATCTTCTCCATATTCCAACACCTCCTTTCAGAATCAACCAAGGAGCTGACTTTTAAGTTTTGGGACTCTCTAGAACAAGGTCCCATTGGTTTAAAGTTCTCCAAGTTTGGAATCCAAGGGTTGGACCAGATGTTTAGATTGGAACCTACATTTGACTTTCCAACAACCCCCTAACAAGAGAAGCTTTCTACCCTCTAGTATACTTCTCCACTCCCAAGATTGATTTATTCTTTTCTTGGAGAAAATGGTCATTGGGCTAGTACCTTGCTTTCAAAGTTCTAGCCCACAAACTCTGAGAGTCTTCACAAAGCCTCCAAGCAAGCTTAGCTAGGAGGGCTAGATTAAAGAAATGAGGATCCCTAATTCTTATGCCACCATCACCTTTATTTTTGATAATTTGGCTCCAAGCTATCCGATTCATTTTCCTCTTTCCCTGAGTGTTCTCCCACCAGAAGTTTCTTTGTAATTTTTGAAGATTTGAACAAATTATTTTTGGCAGGAGAAAACTAGACATGTAGTAAGTTGGGACAGCAGCGACCACTGATTTTAGAAGGATCTCCTTTTCAGTGTGGGAAAGCAAGTAGTCTCTCCAGCCTAAGACTTTTGATGCCATTTTCTCAGATAGAAAGTCAAAAAAGAAGACATTTCCTTCTTGGAATCAGGGGTTGGGTTCCTAGGTAAATGGAAGGCTTGTCCAGCTTTTTAATGTGTAGGGTTTTTGACAGAGCTCTTTTCAATTTTAGGTACAAATGCTTACTGAAGAATACCTTTGATTTGTCATAGTTGACCTTTCGTCCTGAAACTTGTTCATATATTGAAATAGCTTGAAGGAGAGAGCCCACTTCATTGAAGTTTGTTGAGAAGAAGATAAAACTATCATCTGCAAAAGATAAATGGGATATCACTGGGCTTGCCTGCAAATTTAAATGTCAAACATCAACTTATTCTACACCAAAATGTTGAGAATAGTATAAAGCACATCAGAACAAATTAGAAAAAGATAAGGTGAAATGGGGTCTCCTTATCTAAGACTCCTTTTTGGATGAATCTCCCTAGAAGGGGATCCATTTATGAAGACTCTATAAGACACTGTTGGTACATATTTCATAATCCACCCTATCCATTTTTCCTCAAACCCTAATTTTTTCATTGATTTTTCCAAATACATTCCATTCTGTTATAAGCTTTATTCATATCTAACTTAATTGCCATAAAATGGAATTATGGAGTTATGGAGTGCTATTTAATAAACTTTCTTTTTCTTATTATCAATTTGTGCATATCTGATTGTCCCCAACTTCCAATCATCTGATGGATTTGGGTCTAGAGCTCTAGAGCCGCTTCTGTCGTACAAAATTACACATACCTTGACACGAACCTGACAAGGCCCAAAATCGATATGTTAGACTCAACAACCAATCCATCTCTGTTTGTCGGTTAAAAAAATGAGGAAAGAGTGGAGTAATCCAATAGGTGTTACATTTCATCATTTATAATAACACTTCCATAATTATCCATGCAGAAACTAGAAACAAATCCCAAGTTTAAGCATATCACTTATCAAATCGCTGAACCCCAAGTTTAAGCATATCACTTATCAAATCGCTGACTAGTTTGTATAGGTTTCCTTAATATTGATACAAACCTGATGAAGCGGAATTTGGCCCGACCTCATGAGAGGGAAATACGGACATGACTCAACACGAGTGA